GGAAATGAAAATGAAAATATTTATATACCTTTAAATCCGATAAAAAATGATTAAATGTCCTAAATAAAATTTATTTTTATATAGTCCATTTAGATAGAAACTATGTATGCTAATTAACCTTTTAAAGAAATAAGCGAACCGACAATAAATCATAAAAATTTTCTTATCCATCATTAAAGATGATTCAAGACTTCATAATCTCCCAAGGTGGAGTAAAACCTATGGCGTCGTGAATACTTAATTCGATTGTGTTAAAAATCGAAATGTTTCTTTCAAATGTTAACATATGAAAGTTTATGAGCAAAAAGGTTTCATTTCGATTATTATTTTAATACGCGTTGAAGTTTTAAAAAATTCCTTTATAATCCCTCGCTGGACTTGGGTTTTCGTTTTCTTCACATTAGAAAAACAAAACAAAACAAAAATTGTTATAAAATCATGAAAAGAATATCTTTTACCGCAATTTATTTCTTCATTTACTTATCATTCATTATAATCACCAAAATTTATGCTAGTCTTCAATGCGTTGATTATTTAGATCCTCTTAATCCAAGAGACAAAATTCTTATAGCATGTCCTCATGTTAGGTCAAATAAAATCGAGGTTCGTGATGGTAATAAATCAAAAGATGGATCAAAGAATATGTTTGATTTAACGTTTAATTGCAATTTAAACGACGAAAATTTGTGTAAGAAAGCAAAAGCAACATTCGAATCGGCTGGAAGGATTTTAAGTTCTGCATTATTACTTAACACAAGAATTGGTTTGAATGCTACGTTTAGACCTTTAGAAGGGAATTTATTAGGTATATAGAATTATTTTTCAATTTCATTTATATCATTTATACAGGAATTAATCTTGCTCATGTTATTTTATTTTATGATACAGGAGCAGCAGGTCCATCCCGAGCAATTCCTTTCAAGGATGATGATGGAAGAATTCGGTTATATGCACAATCTCTCGCAAAGCAATTTCAATTAGAAGTTCATCCTGAATATTCACCAATTGATATCTTGGCCGACTTTAATTCAGATTTTCCATTTTGGTTCGAAGGCGATCCACCAATCCAACCAAATCAAATTGGTTTTGAAGAACTCGTATTACATGAATTGACACATGGACTTGGTTTTCTTTCTAGTTGGAGTAATGATTATCTTGAAGAAAGTTCTTCATTCCTTACTCCTAATATTGATGGTATTTTTTATAATGTTGGTGATAATGTAGAAAGTAAATCTTTATTGACCTTTCGTGGATTTTTAGAAAATGCTTTTGATAAATATATGATTTTAACGTCAGATAGAACGCGTA